TTCTGGGACCACCGTTTTAGATTTGTACATCTTTGCACTGGACACTACTTTCTTGTTTTTTTTTTATTTCATTTTATACTAGGTGGAATATTTAGTGATTGGTTCCCCAGTGTTCACAGCTGCATGCACTTTTTTAGCGCCAATTGCATTGCTCATTTTTTGTATATTTTCTGCATAATTGTTACCCATTACACTGCAAAAATATGAATGACAAAAAAAAATCTAAATCTCACCCACTTTCTCGCTGTCATGTCCCCCAGCACAGCAGACCTTCTTCTATTTAGGTGGAATCCATCACGGCTGGAAGGTAAAAGATACATGTGTTACAAGTTTTGTGCAAACATATAACTACTTATGCCTCGTTTCCACTGAGCGGATCAGTTCGGGTCGGTTCGGTACGGTACGCTATTTTGAGTGTTTCCATTATGAAAGTGGCCCATACAACCAAACCAAACCGCACCATTCATGGTCCCCCTTCAGATGTAGGGCCATAGGAAATGGTACGGTACGGTTAGGGCGGAGCTACTGGTGTCACACGATACATTCCACTGATTGGCGGTCAATGCTCACGTCAAAGGCAAGCGCGAAACAAACACCATGTCACCGTTTAGTCCAGATAATAGGAGAAGGATGCCTGCAAACAACAGCAAGGTCTGGTCAGCTCAGGAACTATCCACTTTCCTAACTATAATTGGTGATAGCGTTATTCAGAGTGAGCTTGATGGATCAGTGAGAAATGAAAAGGTGTATAAAGATATTTCTCAGCGGATGGCAGCTGAGGTATTTGAATGGACATCGGGTCAGTGTAGGGCAAAGCTTAAAAAGCTGAAAGGTCAATATAAAAACATTAAGGATGCCAACAGACGTAGAGGAAACAGTCGAAGTACCTGGAAGTGGTAAGACGCCATGGATGCCATTTACGGTCATAGGCCGGCAAACCAAGGCAGGGAGGGAGGTCTGGACTCTGCATCTGCACGTCTCGAATCCATGATAGAACCGTTGGTAAGTTGTTTTTTCTACTTGGCATTGGCTTTCGCTCTGCTAACCAAATTCACTGCACAAAACCATTAACTGTTTGCACACAAAAAAAAACATTTTATTTGTACAGTGGACTGAACTATTGATTTGTGCATTTTCAGATACAGTTGATGGACTCTCCAATGATACCTCAACCTTTTCTTATGTTTCTGACGATGGTCCATAAATGTCGTTCAGCAGCACCAGTACGATGACGTCAACATGTCGACCCAACCACAGAGTATGCCCAATGCACCCTGGCACATTGGTAAGACATGATGTTCAGAGTGAAAGTTGTAATTTTTCTAACTTTTAATTCACAGCAAACTGTGAACTCACTCAAAATGCTTCTATGTAGTTTGTTTGCATAATTAAATTTATAATCATAATTGTACATTGTCTGTATATACTGCTATTTAAATTTCATTGTGTTTTGAGCTTATCTTAAGTATATTGTGTTTATTGAGTTTATTTTAATTTGTGCTTATACTGTTCTTATGTGTTACATCTTTTCTTTATTTACATTGTGTTAGATAATATATATATCCACCTGTGTTTTGTACCAATTGCTAAAAAAAAAAAACATTGTATATTCCAGGTGATAGGAGACGGTTTCAGCTGGATTTGCGCACAGTCATGGAGGATATGCGGGCAGCAGAGGAGAGGCAGCAGGAAAGGATGGAGAACCTTTCTGAGCAGCGGTTTCAGGCACTGCGTCAGGAGGCACTGTGTAGGGAGGCAGAAATCGCTCGGCAGCAGATGGAGCCGTTGGCTACTTTCAACCAGGCCTTCCTTGGTGTCCTAGGGCAGCTTGTTCAAGTGCTGGGAGGCAGTCGTGATCCCAGGTCACCGCCCAGGCAGTAGTGCCTTTCAGTCAGCACAGGACCTGTACACTTTTTTATTTTTTGGTAAAAATATTTATTTTAGTTTTTTGTAAAAAAGGTTTATTTGTAAATATATTTTTTTACTCTGTACTTGTAAGTATATTTTGAAAGATCTCTTTTTTTTGTTGAATAAAAAACAGGAGAGACTTTGCGTGTGTCTGATTAAATGTAAAACTTTAATAAAACGTTAATAAAATCAGGGTAAGAAATTAAATGTTGAGGTGCCACATCAGAGCCTGACATATTTCACTGCACTCTTCTTCGCTATCCTGTGTAATTACCTGCCTGGCTCTTCTGCAGATGTATTCCAATCCTGGTGGAGGTCTTCTCCATGTTTTTCACAAAGATTGTGAAGAGCACAGCAAGTAAGCACCATGGATTTGACAAGTGCAATGTCACTGCCATTCCTCTTCATAAGACAACGCCCCCTACCCTTAAGTCTTCCGAATGCATTTTCAACTCCAACCTGTGCCCTGGATGTTTTCTTGTTGTAGGTTTGTTGTTCTGGTGTCAGGCGGCCATTGTCAGGAAATGGTTTCAGGAGCCAATTTTGTAAAGGGTAAGCAGAGTCCCCGAGCACATAATAGCCAACATTCACCCCCCCCCCCCATGTTCTTAGTGCAAACAGGATACAGGTCTCCCTGGCCATCCCAATCCCAAAATGTGGACAGTCGTAGAACCCGAGCATCATGCAAACTCCCAGGCTTTCCTACATTCACACTCCAGAATAGTCCTTTTCCATCCACTACTCCTTGGAGGATGATGGAATGCCAGCCTTTTCTGTTGAAGTAGCCAGTGTGGTATTCTTGTTGTGCTATTATTGGTATGTGTGACCCATCAATAGCACCAACACACTGTGGAAGGCCCCACCTGTTCTCAAAGTAGTCAGCCATGTCTTTAAGCTTTTGCCAGTCCGGAAAATTAATAATTTCAGGAGCTAGCAATGAGCATACAGCCTTACAGAAGTCCTGTACACACTGGCACACTGATGATTTACTGACACCAAAAAGATGACCTATACTTCTGTATTCACTGTTGGTAGCCAACTTCCACAGTGCAATGGCAACTCTTTTCCTCACAGGCAAACAGACTCTGAAGTTGGTGGTTTCCTTCTCCATCGCTGGACGTAGCTTTGCACAAAGGTATAAAAATGTTTCCTCCGACATTCTGAAATTGTGCACCCACTGTGTGTGTGTGAATCCAGGGACGGTCACATCCCACCACTCATTGGCGTGGCGGAGAGCCCAAATGACTGGTCGGCGGTGCTGCTTTGACAAAAGGAGAGGCATCTAAAAAAAAAAAAAAGACAGATGTTACATATCACAAATAATACAACATAATAATACAACATAAAATACTTTACATGGACAAATAGCATCATGTATAAAAGCGAGCAACATAAATAACATAAGGAGTATTTATGTAGAAGGTGTAATTCTTGAATTTTACATATGTGTGCAACATGTATGTTGTTAAATACATAATGTATATCCTTCCCATCTTATATTAGATTTTTTACATATTCTGTATTATTTTTATATTTTAATACGTGTAGAACTACATGACAAATTACATAAAGTTGCTTACCCTATAGCGCTGCCGTCTTTGTATTTGCCGCACAAAGGCGTACTTCTCCTCCTGGCTCAAGACCCAAGCCATAAGTTTTCTTCTCTTTTCTGCTGTGTTTCTCTTCACCGCTCGCATCCTTCTCTTATAAAGTGCGGCATGTATTTTAATTTCAAAGAACCAAAAGCTAAATAGAGCAAAGACGAGCTGCTGGCTGACCTCCATTATTGTTATTTGTAGCGTCACCTATGTTGTCACACTAGTGTGACGCCACGCTAGGCATTTGGCGGAAACCACACAAGTCTCCAGGCATTCCAACTTGCAGTGGAAACGCTCACCTGAATAGGCTGGACCATTCAAAACCTTCCAAACTGTACTGACCCGAACCGATCCGTTCAGTGGAAACGGGGCATTATTAGTTAACATTACATTGTATGTCTGGGACATTGACTGGCAAAACAGATTTAATGCGCCCTCTTGTTTCATATAGACAATGGAAATTCCACAACTATCACAATCATTTTACTCACTTAAACAACTTGTTGACCTTATTGCACAGTATTTATATGAGCTTTATTTAAAGAAAAAAAATTACAAAATCAAGTTGATTCACGAAAAGCATCTCTCTTTTAGGCTGCTTTTGAACCAAATGTTTCCTTACCAAACACATTTTTTGAAGACAGACATTTATTTAGAACTTTTTTACATGAATGCAAATTAATGTTTGCTTTAAAACCTTGTACCTACTCTTAAGACAATACTAAAATAAAAACTATAATTTCACTCCTACAAGGATATCCTGCAAAGTGGGCATTCCAATTGCTGGAACTAAACATCCTTGTTTATCTAACCTTTAGACTTTTTCACATGAACTATCCAAACTGTACAAAGACTCACATAAATCTGATACTGCTGAAAGTAAACTGCATAATTTGTTACAAGTTCAGGACTATTTAACTCAATTTCGGAGCTGGTCCACTGACAACGCATGGGCTAACTGATTCCCAGCAAGATGAATTGGCACAAACAGGACCGGTTGACATATTTGAGGTTATTGTAGTGGTTATAGTGTTTTTTTTGACCGTGGGAGATTTAAGCATAACATTTTCCCACTGCAACCAAGCTGCTTTCCAGAATTTTGTTGGCGCAAAGGGCCTGCCTTGCCATCTTTTCATATTTTTGGGTACGGTCTAAAATTTGTATGCAGGAATTGATTGTTGGGTGGTCATTGTTTGCCAGTTTCTGATCATTTTGGTTAGTGCTGTTATAAGAATATAGTTCATTAATACCTCTGGTTGTTTTTTTATATTTTTGGGAAAAAGGTGGAGTAAGAAGGTTCCAGGTTTGTTTGGGAGGATAATGCCTGTACTCTCTAATATAAAAGCAGCAACATCGTTCTAATAGTGGGATAGTTTTAGACAAGTCCACCAGACATGCAGCATGGTACCTGTTATGCCGGGAGGCTCAGGTTGCTGCTATGTAGGCTGGCTGAGACTAACTACCAGCGGTATAAAATTTTCCTGGATAGTTCTATTTGTAAGGAGCACAACGTAAGCTGTTTATGTGTGAGAGAATGCTTTTCCATTGGGAATGAAGTAAGTTGTATATCCGTTCGTTCTCCCAGGCTTGTATAAAAGTGTAATCAACTTGGTTATGTTCAAGTACGTACAATGTAGAGATAATGAATTTTGCGGGTTTGATTTAAAGGCTATTTTTTCTATGTCCTTCAGCTGTGGCTCATTTATACATTTCCTAGGTAAAAGAAAAGTTTCTGTAACTATGAGTACATTTTCATGTATAAAAAGCGAGCTATTAGGGGTATGCTATATTGTTCTTGCAGATCTGCAAATTTGAGTATGTCCCTTTTGTTAATTGGTAAATGGATGGAATATTGTATCTTTCCCATAATTTTGAATTGAAGAATGGTAAGATGAAAGTATGGGCCCTATTTGGGACACACAATCTATCTGTACTTGGACCCATTCTCTTTAATATTTTTATTAGTGATATTGCAGAAGGTCTTGATGGTAAGGTATGTCTTTTTGCTGATGATACTAAGATATGTAACAGGGTTGATGTTCCAGGAGGGATAAGCCAAATGACAAATGATTTAGGTAAACTAGAAAAATGGTCAGAATTGTGGCAACTGACATTTAATGTGGATAAGTGCAAGATAATGCATCTTGGACGTAAAAACCCAAGGGCAGAGTACAGAATATTTGATAGAGTCCTAACCTCAACATATGAGGAAAGGGATTTAGGGGTGATTATTTCTGATGACTTAAAGGTAGGCAGACAATCTAATAGAGCAGCAGGAAATGCTAGCAGAATGCTTGGTTGTATAGGGAGAGGTATTAGCAGTAGAAAGAGGGAAGTGCTCATGCCATTGTACAGAACACTGGTGAGACCTCACTTGGAGTATTGTACACAGTACTGGAGACCGTATCTTCAGAAGGATATTGATACCTTAGAGAGGGTTCAGAGAAGGGCTACTAAACTGGTTCATGGATTGCGGGATAAAACTTACCAGGAAAGGTTAAAGGATCTTAACATGTATAGCTTGGAGGAAAGACGAGACAGGGGGGATATGATAGAAACATTTAAATATATAAAGGGAATCAACACAGTAAAGGAGGAGACTATATTTAAAAGAAGAAAAACTACCACAACAAGAGGACATAGTCTTAAATTAGAGGGACAAAGGTTTAAAAATAATATCAGGAAGTATTACTTTACTGAGAGGGTAGTGGATGCATGGAATAGCCTTCCAGCTGAAGTGGTAGAGGTTAACACAGTAAAGGAGTTTAAGCATGCGTGGGATAGGCATAAGGCTATCCTAACTATAAGATAAGACTAGGGACTAATGAAAGTATTTAGAAAATTGGGCAGACTAGATGGGCCGAATGGTTCTTATCTGCCGTCACATTCTATGTTTCTATGTTTCTAACTTGTATTTTTAACTTTATAGGGTCAGGAATACATGTTTGTATTCCTGACCCTATAGTGCTCCTTTAAATGATCCAATTGATCTCACAATCCAATTAGAGAGATGCCTCCGTGAAAAGAAAACTGAAAGAAATGCTTTTGTTACCATTAGAAAAATATCTTTCAATCGCTCATTCTAAACCTGTTTTTTCACCAGATCCATCAAAACCTGAACCTACGGAAGTGGGTTCCATCAGAGGACCATAATCTGTAGAAGAAGATGTAGGAGAACAAGGAGAAACAAGGAGAACTGACAATCTTTGTTTATACTGGACCTCATCCAATCATCTTCTATCTAGATGTTCTCTGTCATGGAAATATAGATTATGTAAAAAAACAAAAAAATTTCTTTAAGGGAATTATCTCAGTCTAGTTCTAATTTATTTGTTTTAGTATCCTTGGAAATCAATGAAGTTACAGTTTTTCTTAATGTTATCACAGGTTCTGGGGCTACTGGATGTTTCCTGACCAACAAATGTGTTGTTGACCATAAAATTAAAATGAAAGAAAAAAAATACTTCTACTCAAATTATACTCTTTGAGAAATCAAATTCTTACAAGGGTCCCATAAGAGTGCAAACTATCCCCATCAAAACAACCACCACAGGCAATTCATATACTGAATGGCTGACATTTGATGCAGCCCCCTCCTCTATTTTCTATATTTTTTTTCAGAATTACATGGTTAAACTACACAATCCCTCTATTAATTGGGAAACCAATTAAAACTCTTTTGATTCTACCTATTGTCTTAAGTATTGCCAGAGCCTTAATTACAAACCAATAAGGAATATTTGGAAAATAATTTAGCAAAAGGTTTTTTTAAGACATTCAACATCCCCAGCAAGTGCCTGATTATTCTTTGTCAGAAACAAAGACAAATCAGACCAAACATTGATTACAGACAAAATTACTATAAAAAAAACAGATACACACTCTTTTTAATTCATGAAATGCTTGAAAGAAACAAAAACGCTAATAGTTTTTACTAAGCTTGATCTAAGAGTTACAATCTCCTGTGCATAAGACAAGGTGACGAGTGGGAAAACTACCTTTGAATACATGGTCATGCCATTTGGGTTATGCAAATGGCATGACCTTCTTCAGCATTTTATACATTACATATTCAAAGATATTCTCGACTAATTCATTGTGATTTACCTTGATATTCTCAAATACAATCAAACAATATATATCACATGTAAAAAGGGTTCTTGAAAGATTATGTCTACACAGACTTAATGCTAAACCTGAAAAATGTACGTCCCATGCTTCTAAAATTCCATTACTTCAATATCCAAATTTTCAATTTGAATGGATCTGGTGGCCTGTGCCAAAAAAATTTTTTTTAAAAAAAATAGAATTATAAAGATTCATATGATTCACAATTCTTTACGAAAAATGCATATTTAATTTTTTTTTTAAATCTCTGCTTATCTCCTTAACTAGACTTAGTCAACCCTTCCTCCGAGGAAAACAAGAACAAAAGACTTTTGAGGACCTTAATGATAATGGGGGAACTTATTGTTCCCCCCAACTCCACAGGTACCCCATTCCCACGTGATGGGATACCTATAAAAATAATTAACAAAGGGGGAGATATAGTGTCCCCTTCCAGCCTCCACCCATGCTCTGAGGGTGAGGGCTATTAACCTAAACGGGTGACTTAAATGATAACAGGGGAACCTATTGTCTCCCCCAGGCCCTACCTATTGCCAGCAGGTGGGGGGACCAAGTTCTGAAAGGGGGGGAAATCTATTGTTTCCCCTTCAGCTCCCACTTATTAGCAGCAGGTGGAGGCCCTCATTATTAAAGGGGGGTAACCTACTTTTCCCTTCCAGCCTCCACGCACTGCCAGCAGGTGGGGAGCCTCAAGTAATAAACGAGGGGCAACATATTGTGGGGACAATATTAGTGGCAGATGGGGGTCCAAAGTGATAAGAGGGGGGGTAACTATTGACTCCCCTGACCCCCACCCATTAGCTGCGGGTAGAAGCCCTAAGTGATAAGGGTGGGAGTACTAAGTCAAATGTAGTGGAGTCGGGAGGGCGGTTAAAAAAGCACAGATTCGGGCCAGGACAGTACTGCTTTAAGTAAGACTCGACAATGGCTCAAGTACAGGAGTCAAATAAAACTTTCCTTTTCTAACCTCT